GATATCAAAGATTACAGTTCTGAGCTCCCTTGTTTCTTCACTGCATAGGAAAATAAGGGGTTTTTTTGTGAGACAAGGAGTGGATATGATTGTTTGTTTTGTCTCTGGTGACATCATTCTTTTTTGTCAGCACCATCTCTCAGTAATTGATCTGAGGAAGGACTAGAGCAGTTCACTGTCTTCTGAAACCTTCTCCCATCACCCCTTTCTATTTCAGTGGCCTAAACAAAAAATAAGGTCAGTGAGAGACTTTTTCATAATATGTTGTCCAACCTTTGATCAAAACCCCTGCATTTTCCGTGATGTTTACATGTAAGTCTCACTGCAATGACATCAGAGCTTCCCAATGCCCATTTTAGCACCAATTAAAGTGGCAATGCTCAGAGAACCATTTATCTTTATACTGTAGGAGTTTGAGCAGTGCTGTTATTACTTTTGAGGGGGAACTGTGCAGGCTCCTTGTCAATTGGTTTAGGCTGCCTCAACGAAGCCAAACTGCTACTGCCATCCCCAGCTGCTGCTGCTGCTTGTGTGTTCCACCTTCCCCACATTCACTTTAATCCACCAGCCAAGAGCAAAACAACCTTCCCCCGGTGCACCTCCTGCAAACAGGGTAGGAAAACACCACAAAAGGGAAAAAACCACACATCACTTGCAGCATTTTTACATGTAATAGTAACAGTCTCTTGGTGCCATCATCAGCCATGGCATTTCATTCACACAGAACACTTGTGGGCACATCACATATGCTTTTCCATTCAATGTATTTTTAAATGTTTCCCAGGCAACTGTTTCAATACAATATGCCTCCTTGGCAACCTGGTACCCGCAAATGCCATGCTAGTCTCCCTAGTCCTCTTTTTAGGTCCTCCCATCTTGGCATATAAATGTCACAAGGCTGGGTTTTCCATCTCCAGCCACACAGGTGCTGATCTGTCCTTGCACTTGGAAAGGCTGAATTGAAGAGATGAGTCGTGCACTGGGTGCTGCATGTTGGCAAATTCAGCTTTGGTGCTCTACCAGAGGGAGCAGGTTCCAAAGGCAGTGACTTCTCGTGGGAAAGAGAATGCCTCCTGCAACTAAAATTAAGGAGAGCCCACAAAACTGTCTCCACTCAACTGACTTTCTCTGGAAGCAGCAATGAGCCTGCACTTCTCAAACTGAAATGCATGTCATCTTTATTCTCCTGACTAAGCCAGTCTTACCCAGTTCTCCTCATTTTGTGGTTTAATTGTAACATTAACATCACGTTAATGAGAAGAGTCAGACTTTCCCATTTCACCACAGCCAGTGATTAGCACTGGACTGAGTGGGTCAGTTTGCCTGAGTTACTCTTTCCAGGGCTGCATTTGCTGCCACTGAGCTGTTCAGGGGACACGTTGTGACATTAGAGTGGGGCATTTCAGCTGTGGGACATTTGCTGCAGCAGCTTTCCCTGCTGCTCTGCTCTGCTCTGCACACTGTGGTCTCTTTGGGGACATTGTCCTTTATTACATTTAGCAGAACGGCCACTCTCATCCTTGAGTGAAGTCACAGACTATTTGACAAGGACAAAAAATTATCAACATGTACTCCCAAGCTAAGCACTGATTAGATAAAATAATTAAAATATAATAATATTTCAGTGATCTAGCAAGGAACAATTTCTTCTGAACATTTTTATCTGATACAGAGCTATCACTACAGAAGCAAAGATATTTCAGAAGGTCTAAAACTACCAGTGAGCATCAGTCATCATAAAAAAAAGTTTTAATAAAAACTGCATGTGCTTCAGCCTAAAAGTGGCACATTAAAAAAAATAATAGCTCCTGCATGCAATGACATCAGGCTTTGAGAGAAACCCAGCAGAAACTGTGGCACCTCTTCTTCATTGATTACTCCATAACAACAGCTGAAAATTACAATTTTTCCAGGCTATAAAATGCCTAGCACTCCAAATTCTACACCGGCAGCAAAAAATCTCCTCCCTGTCTGTGAGCTGTTGTATCTGTAATAGAGACCCTGCATTACCAGGCTTTCTAATTCTTCCCAAATGCAGAAGCTCTCATTCAATGCTGCAGCTGTTGGGGAGGAAATCAGAAATAGCAGAAGGCGGATTAGTTGATAATGTACCAGTTCTTCCCCAGCAAATGCTGGCACCTGCGTTTTACACTCTCCTCTTTCCCTCAGCCCAGGAAAAGATCACTTGGTTTGTTTGGCAGGCAATTTATAGGCTTTAGTGATTGTGGAACTGCAAAAGGATTAGAATTTGTAATAATAGCCCCTTCTTCCTGAGAGCAAAAGTTAAAACTGAGGCCCACTTTACAGCAAGAATCAGGGACCATGTAAGTAAAGATTAAGCGTGTGCAGCTTGATGAGACTCAACAGGGAAGAGATAACTACACATGCTGGCACTCCATTTACAAGGAAATCCCTGCAGATAATCTGTAGGAGCATTCAAGCTCAAATCCCTTGACCACTGGCTCAAATCCAGTCAAGGCTGATGATAAAGACTACTCTCTGCATTTCTAGGAGAACCTTTTTTCTAAGACCACTAAACATTCTAATTACTAAATTAGCAAGACCCAAAATCAAGCAAGAAGTAATAGGATTTCTATGTAGTGGAGGAAACAGAAGATATGATCTTGTGCAAAGGGGCAAGCCCAAAACCAGTTCCTATTCTACACTTTTCCTTCCTATTCTTAGTACTTTACTAATTCTGGAAAGATGCAGATGAAAAATACTAAATGCCCTTAATGGGCAGAGATTTCTAGTTTGAAATCTGTAGGTAGTTACAGAAGCAGATGGAGCAAGGATGAAAACATTCATGACATGGTTAGAGTGGGTATCATTAAACAGATAACAATGAAAAATAACTTAGAATTTCCAGTTAAATCTACAAAATCCAAACTCACCTACAATCTACAGTTGCTACAGAAGCAAGGTTTTCTCCTTTTGCTTTTTACAAGAAGAAGCTGCAATAATAATTTTCCCTATTCTTTTTATTCTATTCTTTCATTTGTGGCCCTTACTGCACAGTAATCAATTTTTATGTTCCCCCACAATAAAGCTTTTGCAAATGCTGTACAGCACCACACAGCAACACCTCCAGCATGAAGAACAGGCTGCACTCCTGATGGCTGTTCTGGGAGAAGTCTTATCTAACAACATAAATCCACGGGTACAACACACGATTTAGCAGCAGAGGCTTGTCCAAGGAGTATCCAAGGGGTCATAAAACATAAAACACAAAACACTAACCCAACCACCACAGGAATAAAAGAAACCCTGTGCCATCACTGATCATTAGCATACATACACCCAGGAGTATGTTCGGAGTGCTTTCACAGCCCCCTGGATTTTGTTAAATCTCTGGTTTTGCATAGTTTGCTGCCTCCATGTGGTGACAGTCAGCGCTGGGCCACAATTCACAGTGATCCCGAGTAAAATCCCCCAAGGAATATTTCTTCAGCTGGTTGTGAAATCAGATTTCTACCCCTCTGTCATCTCATTTCCCACTACTTCCATGGCCAAACCTCCTTTCAATTCACACTTTTCCTTTATTTACATCCCCTTTCTCCTGCTGTTCTTTGCTCTGTCTCTGCTGCCACCACCACCTTCTTCTCCACAGCAGCCTAAAACCTTCACATCCAGATTCACCCTTTGCCTCTATTCCACTTACCTTGTTCCACCTGCAGCTTTTGGGGAAATGCCTTTCCCAACAAAGAAGGAAAGGAGGGCCGATTTCCTGGGGTCTCCTTTCACCACACTGGGAAGCAGCTTCTAAATGGCAACAGAAATGACAGGCAGAACCCTGTGACTGTCCCTTGGGTGTTCCCTGGGCACTGCAGTAACTACAACAGATATTAATGTGGGAAAAGGTTAGTCTGTGTGACAGAGGTTGGCTTTTCCACTGTCGTTTCTTTCTTCTTGGATTTTATTCTCGTTTTACTCTGCCTATTACACAGCTGAAATGCTGGCCCTCTAGTGTGACAATTTTTTATTTATAATATTTTTATTTATAATTCTTTTATTTATAATTATTTTATTTATAATTCTTTTAATAATATTTTAATAGTTTTTATATTAATAGATAGCTGGACTAGCTATTGTGTAAACTGACACAGATCCCAGGAGCTACCAAACACTTTTCAGTTTCAAGATTATTATCTGCAAAAGGAAACCTAAAATGCTGCTTTAAAATTAAGAAATTAGTTATTACATAGAGTTAAAGGCATTATGGACAGAAACACAAAGTACCTGAGTTAACACAGGGAAGGTGAAGGCTGGCAGAGCCTCCCAGATCTCTGCACAGACAGAGCCATCCTCAGCTGAAACACCTCTGGATGGGGCTGAATGGACCTGCTCCGGTTTAAATTTATGTCAAATGTGAATCTCTGAACTCTGATACCCATTTTCAAGGTTCAAATCCACTCAAAGCACATATTAAGTCACGTCAACTGTTACTTCGTTTGTTTTTGCTGGGATGTGATCAACACAATAATTTACAGATGTAACTTATAATACAGTCAATACTGATGCCTTCTTTCTACTCTGAAAAATCCAAGGAGGGTGCAGTCCACAGACATCCAGCAATGCACAAATGTAGTTATAGAAGAAGAATGTGGACTTCGATTCATGTTTTACCAATAATAAATTGGTTTTATGCAAAGAGTCCTCTGCGCTGGTGCTCCCTCATAAACACCTGTTATCAAACTGGATGTATTTTCTTGTACAGTTATTTTTTGCATCAACTGTGAAGAGTTTTAACAGCAGAGTTTCTTTCTGATCCTTTCATGTACTGTTGGAGGATGAAGTGTCTGTCACCATTCCTCTGGTGTCTGTTTTTGGCAAGGCTGCAGCCCGGGGAGTGTTTAAACCCCCTCTAGCACCTTCTTTATTTCAAGCCACAAGGCGAAATTCCCGCCAACAACGTCAAACTGCATCACTTCAGATTCTCCTCTAAGAGCGAAATTAGGTCAGAGGTGCGCTCCTAACCCATTTTATTTTTTTGGAAAAAGAGCCTTCGAGTTTGACCCCACGCAACAGCTCCAGACCCAGGGCGGCACCGGCCAGGCCCCGCCCGCCGCCATCTTGTCCCCCTCAACCACGGCGACCACCCAGCACAGCCCTGACCCTGCCCTTCCCAACACACCAAAACCCTACAAAAACATAAAGTCTGAGGGGTAAAAGCAGCACAAAAAAGGCTGTTTTCGAGGCAGACCAGCCCTCGGCAGCTGAGAGGTGTAGGGCTGCGGAGCGCCGGCTTCTCCTCAGGGCGCCCTCAGAGCTGCTCCCGCCGCCCCGCGCCGTGAGGGCGGCTCTGAGGGCGGAGAGTCCCAGCCCCGGCAGCGCGCCCGGGGCGGGAGGAAGAGGAGAAGGAGGAAGGCCCGGCCGCCCTCTCTTCCTGCCCTCCTGCGGCCGCAAGCGGGAGAGGCGAGAGGAGCCTCGGCCATGTGTGAGGAAGGAGCGGCCAAGCTGCGCCTGAAGCCCCGCACGGCGCCGCCCGCCCGCGGCCGAGAGCGCAGCCCCGGCCCCGAGCCCCCACCGCAGCCCCAGTGAGTCGGGACCGGGGGAATCGGATCGGTCCTGGGGACCCATCCCGAGCCCCCACCGCAGCCCCAGTGAGT